AGAGTCTAAAGCATCGGTGGGGTTTGTGAATTTCATAGTCCAATAGAATAATTTATGTAAATATGTTAATCAGAGAGCTTTCTTACCCTTACTGAGCACTAATGCTTGCCAAAGGGTCATTATGTGTCAGACTGATGATATCCATTAATGTAATATGGTATTGCATATAAATTAATGTGGCCATAATTAAAATCTCTAAACTCATTGAGAAACTTTCAGAAACCAGATATACTGATTTGCTTACCACTTATTTCCTGCTGTCCTGATGGGATTTCTAGAGTTGGTTGAATTCAACTGGATTTGGAGCTCTGGCTGTCTAGCCAGTGTTTATAACTCAACTCATCTGAAGACAAAGCTTTGTCGCCTTTGCCCAGCATAAATCCTGTGTTGGAAAACTATTGTAGTCAGCGGTGCCTTTCATAAAGTTTTGTTCTAAGATTATTTCTAGAATTTTCTCCCTGGGTTTTCATTTGTCAGTTCATCTTGTAATTCATTTTTAAACCACAGTTGGTCTCAACTTATTTTCTTATGAGATGAAAAAATAGATCCTGCTACATGCACAGCTCATCATAAGAATTCCTTTAGCAATACGGCAGTTTTGACAAATTTTCTTACGAAGTCATTTTTAAAAATTACAGCAAAGATAATAATAGCCACCGCTTACTTCTCACCTATGTTGCGATCGTCACTGTGCTAGGTATATTATGTAATCATGTAAGTTTCTCAAGTTCATTTTCTATTCTTTCTCTTCTCCACTTGGACCTGAATATTTCCTATTGGTTCACCCTTTTAGGTCACGGGTCCTCTCTTCTGCTTTCCAGTCTCTAGTTAAACTTTCTTGCCTTCTCAGAACTTTGGCCTCTGTCTTCAGCTTGATATCTTGGTCTCATGGGCTGCTGTGGAATTACCCAGTGCCTTGTGGAGAAATGTAGCATCAACCTTGGCCTCACCTCAGTATGCTTGTTTTTCTCCATGACTTGTCCTCTGGAATCCAGAGCTCTTAAGTGTCATCGCCACAGATTCCCAAGACGACCCGAAGCTGAGCTCAGAAGCCCAGACCCTGGACCTCTTGGCCATTCTTCCTGTTCAGCTTCATCCCACACTGCTTGCTCCCAAATCTGGAGACTCACCAGCGATGAAAACACCAGTTGATGTTGTGGCCACCTCTATGTTCTGTCCTTTTTTGGGGGGACCCTGAGCTCTGAAGTCCTGGCTGTCTTGATGGTTCCTTGATACTTTTAAATAAGGGTGCACGTTTGCACGTTCAACATTTCCAGTGGCCACTGGGAGGATCCATCTTTAGTAAGTCATTGTATTTCTGGAAGTGCGAAATTCTCAGTTTGCTTTTAAAAGAATCTTGGAGTGTATGAGAATTTTAAAATAGCCCCTGACATACAAGTGCCATTCTAATTACAGCCGTGAGTCACTGAATGAGGAGGATGTTCTGAGAAAGGCCTGAGTAGGAGATTTGCCACCGTGTAGCACAGGAGAGTGTAGTTACACAAAGACGGTTGGAAGGTCACCGGCCGTACAGTTTTGTGGGGCCACTGTTGAACACGTGGTCTGTGGAGGGACCTGATCATACTGTTGAAGGAAAGGGCATCTAGTGTGTGACGATTTCTCATTTCCAGGAGTCTGCAAGGTCATCCTAGACGGAAGTGGGGTTGGATACAGAGCAATAGGACACAGGCTGGAGGGGACAAAAAGATCACATGTTTTGGAAAAAAAAAAAAAAATTCTGTGGCCTCTTTAAAAAAAAAAAAAAAAAAAAAAATCAAACTTAGAGGATTTTCCCCGACACAGTTAACTGGCTTAGTGCTAACTGCTTATTTGCTGACCTTCTGTGTTATTTGCAAATTTAAAGTGAGGCCAGCTCTTCCTGTTTTCATTTCACCGTCATTGCTGATGAGCTGAGGAAGAGAAGAGCCTTCATTTCTCAGTGGGGAAAAGCAGCTGTGGAGCAGGTTGCTAAGTCCCACGGCCAGGCAGCAGTGCCACAGGCTGCAGGTCCAGCTTGCCGAGAGTCATAGAGCCAGGGGTGCAACCCAGTCACCTGAGTGTTTCTCCCAATCAGCTGTACCTGCCTGCCTTTGGCCAGGTAGCCAGGTCCCCTTTTCTCTATCCCATTGATTCAGACCCTCATTATCTTTTCCCGTCGGTAGACTCCTCCCTTGCCTCCTCTCCCGTACCATCAGCTCACTTCTATGCTGCAGCTAGAAGGATCTTTCTAGAACATAGCCACTGTCACCATGTTAACCCCCTCCCCCATCTTCCAGAACTTGACGATGACGTTCACACAGCTTTCCAGGCTGCCTTGGATCTGCTTTGGGCCTGAGCCTCCTCTCCACTCTGGCCGGCCAGCCTGACCTTCCCACCTCTGGGAGTCATATATAGTCTGCCGGACACCTAGTGCCCTCTGTCCACTGCTGTGCCAGCTGGGCCTCCTGCCCGCTCTCTGGCTGACCTCCTGTCTTCCAACTTAGCCCAGGGGAACCTCCTCTGGGATACCTGCCAGCGCAGTATGAACCAGGTGTCCTTACTTTGTGTCCCCAAAGCCACCTCTGCCCTGCTGCCTGTGCTCTGCACTGTCACTGCATGCCTGTGTCCCCTGTAACCAATAATTCCCAGAAGGTCTTTCATGTCTGGCTCCCTGTGGCCCAGCACATTGCCTGGCATAAAGTAAGCACCCAATAAATCCCAAATGGAGTGTATGTTAAGTTCCCTATAAAACCTTAGCCACTGCCAGTTCTGCTTCCAGTCTGGGTGTTCTTCTCCATGGGGGCTCCTACAATGTTCAAAGCGAGAGACTCCTGTAGATTTTTTAACAGGAAGAGGTAGATTCTGACCTTCCCATTGGTCAGAACATGTTCACCTTCAGAAGTTTCAGTTCGTAGTAAAAGTGACTTTAAGTAGTAAAATTTCGGTAACGGTGGTCTGTGCCAGAGCCCTAGGCCTCTCTCCATCCTGAGGAGTTCTTCCACTTAATCGCTGAGCAGAGGGAATCTGTGCTTCCAAAAATGACCAGGAAACCACTAAATGGGGCTGCTACTTTTGCTCCACAGCTCAAAGAAAACAAGCCCAGTCCAGGAAGGAGAGGCTGTGCTTCTGAGGGTGTCAGCCTGTTTCTAAGTGCTTCACCCTCCTCTGTCCCCACCCTCAGCTCCGTGGGGTTTGACTTCCTGTCTGCTCCATGGAATAGGAAGCTGTTTTTCCAATTTCTTAATTAAGACAGGTTCATCCTGTCATTTCCAGAGAGCAGCATCCACGCCCCTAGATGTCAAAATACTCACCCAAAATAAGATAGGCCCTGGGTAAAGGTTCCCTCCCCATCAGCCACTGCTTGAAGGACTGCATGTTTGAAAACTGCCCATTTTCTAGTTATTTGTCATTCATTCACCTTCAGCCTAGAGTGTGTGTCACATTCCCTTCCCTCTTTGCTCAATATGCTCTTAAGCAAATAAGTCATTTTTTAGAGTTATTCTGGAACTGAAAGTGGTTGGAATGCTTTTTTAAAAATAGTATATAATGGACAAGGAAGGTCTTTTTGCTTGCGGTTCTAAGAGTAAGTCTGTTCTAGCACTTAACTCGCTTTGGGATGGAGGGAATTTATTTGAACTCTCGTATCTCAGTTACCGTCTCTGTAAAATGGAGACAGTAATATACCAACTCAGGGGCTGTGAGGTTTCAGTCAAATGTCTATGAAAGGGCTTAGCCCAGTCCCTGAAATCAGCTGGGAACAGGGAAATGTGAAGTGATCGCGGTCCCCCACTGCCATCTTTCCATCCTCCCTGAGAACAACAGTGTAGTACCGCTGTGCTACATCCCCAGCCCAGAGCTCACGTACTTTGACATGAATAACTAAAATGCTAAAACTTGAGACATGCTTAAAGAAAGATAATTTACTTATAAACATGTTAGGATTGCATTCATTCATTCTTCTCCATACCACCCAACATCTTCAAGGTCTGGTAAGCAGAGCCAGCATGCAGGAAGGTACTGGAGAGTGAGTGTGTGACTCACTCCTGGAAAGGATGAGAATCTAAAATCTGCTCCTAGAATCTGGAGTTCCTGAGAATATTCTGGAAAGAGTTAATCCAAAGCTGCCTCTATCACCCTCCTAGAGAGGTCCCCTATGCTATTTATGCAAATGCTTTGTTGAGCACAGATATAATCATCTGTTAGTCACTCAGCAATCCACTCCTGAAGTCATCTGTGCCCCTCTGTCCCGTCCCCCACAGCTAGGGAGCCATGGGCCCAGCCACATCTGCCTCCCCAACTCACGCTGTCCTGGTCTCTGTCCCACCTTCTCCCCTCCTGGGCTGCTATGAGAGATTTCTAATCTGCCCTCCTGCATCTCTGAGTATGTTCTTCTCAACACTGAGCCCAAGGAAGTCTGAGGAAACACAGGGTTCCATGGCCCAATAAACTCAGGAGCCATACCTGCTTCTTGGAGGCAAGTGCAATAAAAACAATGAGTGAGGCAGAGTTGAATCCTCTTTAACTTCATTTAACTTGGTGGAAAAGAAAAGGACACAAGGCCAGAAGTCAGACTTTCATCCCTGACAACTGACTTGGGGTGGAGGTACACTGGTGTCTGAGTCCCCTGCGCTAACAACCAATCCATAATCTCAATGCAAAAGAGCCTCGATTATCCAAGTGCCACGAATGCAGAGGGTTAGCTGTAGAGTGCCAATGCTTTCCCACCTAGGAATTTCTGGAAGATGAGTAAAATAATGTGCTTCACATGCCCAAGAGGAGATGATTTAGCACCATGAAAGGTGAAGCAAAAAGCACTCCCCCATTTGCAGAGTGGGGCAAGATGATAACTGCAGAGGCTGGGCTAACCTCATCTGAAAAACCAAAGTTATCAGACTTGACCTCACAAGGGTGGCTGTGAGGATCCTGGGAGTCAATTCTTGTGAAAGCCCTATGTGAACAGGAATCTCTGTGGCTGTCGGTGGGGACCTGTGGTTAACCTGCCTGCTTGTTTGTCGTTGCAGCGGAGGGTGCAGGACGTCATCAGCCCCATAGTGTTCGAAGCTGCCTACAGCCTCGGAGCACATGTGACTGGCGAGGAGGAGAGGGAGCTGCCGGCTTTGACTCCAGTTCTGCGCTGGAAGAAGGGACAAAAGATTGCCCAAAAGAATCAGGTCAGACCCTGAAAGCCCACAGAAATGACCCAGAATAATGGCCAGGGCACACCCCGTCGCTGGGCTTCCCTTTCAAATCTGCAAAATGATACACCAGCTGTTTCGAGACTGTTGGCAGATTTAGATGGGTATACAGTAGGTACTCTATGAATGTTTTATTGGTGGGGGAGGGAATGAAGTAAAGAAGAAGCAAGAATTGCATCTTACTGTAATGGTGGCAGAGTTATACATGCCTGACCCACATGCCCCTGAAGCCAGAGCCCCCTACAAATGCGGGTGGGGACCTGACCTGTTCCATGCTCATCAGATTCTGGGATGGGTTGCTCTGTGGAGGAGCTTTGAAGTGACATTGGAGGCAGGGCACCTGAACTAGAGGTGAGCCTGGGAACTGATTCAGTCTGCCGTGAGCAGTATCGGTACAAGGAAACATGCAAGGAATGTGTGATCTGAAATGTGCTCTAAATCTTTCATTAAAACACAAACTCACCATGGTCCGAGACCCTGGGCAGGATCAGAAAAACTGTTTTGTGGAGGGGTAATCCAATCCTCTGGGCAGGGCAGGGGCAGAGCCTTTTAGAACCACCTGCCTTTGCAATTCTTTAGATTGCCATGAACAGAGGGGGAAACTGCAGAACAGTGACCCCTGTCTTGCATATTTGAGTGGCAAATGGAAGCTCAGGGAGATCCAGGAGCATAAATGACACCTGAGAATTATTCTCCTCTGAGGCGATGATGCTGGTACCTTTTGTACTCTGTATGAGTCAGTGTTGGCTGGCCCTGGGGATTGGGTGGAAGGAGAGTGCAGCCCTCTTTGGACTCCCAGCTGAGGACAGTTCTCTGTGGAAGGATGTGCAGGTAACCATTGGTGCCTCCACTCATGTCCACTAGAGAAGGGCCTGCAGTGGTCAGTGCCTTCTGCACGTACAGGCACCCTGGGCACTACTACCTTTTGAAACTGGTCTTAAACATCAGGATCGGGTCCCTGTTCCCTGGTGTTGAAGATTAAACACCCAAGAAACATTGAGGCAAGAGCAAAAAGTTTTATTTAAAGGATAGAACAGAGAGAGTGACTCCTCTGGAGAGGAAGGGTCCAGATCTAGTGCCCAAAGGACTGGGGGTGTCTTGCCCCTTTCATAGATTGGAGGCTTCCTTTCTTCTCATGTCCCCTCCTCCCATCCTGCCTACATGGTAACCAAAAGTGCAGGAAGAGAGCCATCCAGGGGGTGATCGGGCTTGTGTTGGAAAATGTGATCCTTTCCCTCCCCCAGAGGCTGTTAGGTGATGGGGATTGCTATCTACCTACTTCCTTTTTTTGATAATCAGCTACCTGTCCTTTGCAGGGCAGGGAGGGGGAGAATGGGACCCAATCCTGATTTTCAAGACTGGTTTCACATTCATGATGCTGCTTTTGACTTAAAGCATAAGCTTCTCTCAAAGCACAAGTGCCATGAGAGGGTGGCCTGCAGGTCCTTCTGGTCACTGATACTGGGAACAGGCTCCACTAGAATAAAGGGAGAAATGAAAGGACATAGGGTACCTGAGTGATGGGGCAGAGGGGAGGGCTGGCCTTAACGTGCAGCATGAAGAAAGCAGGGAGAAGAGGAGAGAGAGAAGACCCCTGGGAATTGCAGCTTCATGTTCTCCTCTGACGGTGAAATGGGAGGAAGAGGCCAGGCTGGAGACCTAGTAAATCAGAATATTATGATAACTCCAGGAAAGTGTTTCCTAGTACTAGGATCACTCGACTTTCAAAAGTAAAATCTTGCTGGCCTGATAAACATTCTTATATGTGTTATAGAAATGGTTTAAGCAGAGGGTACAGGAATCATTTTAAAACTTTGCATCTCTGAACTGACCCAGTGAGGTAGCTGCCTGCGCAGTTCAGTGTCTATCAAGCCTGGGGCACAGTTTCTACAATGAACCCGACTCTTTTTTTTTTTTTTTTAATACTTTTTAGTTGTTGATGGATCTTTATTTGTATGTGGTGCTGAGAATCGAACCCAGTGCCTCATGCATGCTAAGCAAGTGCGCTACCACTGAGCTACATCCCCAACCCTCTATTTCTTTTTTCTTTCTTTAAAAAAAAAAAAAATTTTATTTGATACCAGGGTTTGAACCCAGAGGCATTTAACTACTGAGCTACATCCCCAGCACTTCTTGTTTTTTATAGTGAGACAGGGCCTTGCTAAGTAGCTTAGGGCCTCGCTAAGTAGCTTAGGGCCTCGCTGAGGCTGGCTTTGAATTTGTGATGCTCCTGCCTTAGCCTCCCGAGTTGCTGGGACTATAGGCCTGCGCCAGCATGCACAGCCTCTCTATTTCCTTTTCAAAAGAAGAATCTGAGAACAAGGAAATAACTCCAGAGCCAAATATTCAGTGAAAGAATTAGAAGACAATGGTAAGAAATCTCAGAACAACCAAAAGGATAAATCTCTAAAACTCTTATGTCAAAGTGGTGAGAAAACCAGAAAAAGTGAAAGATAAACAAAAGAAAAAAGAAATTATAAGGGATAAAATGGAATAACAGTTCCTAGGCTTAAAGAGAAATAATTCTTTTTTTAAAAAAGGGAAATTTAAGGGCCCATTGATTTATAAGTAAGGTAAACAAAATTATCGTATACACATACGGAAAAATAAAAACTCCTAGAAAGATAGAAATATGATCAATATGTCATGGTTCAAATATAAAACAAGTTAAAATGTGTTTTTTTTTGTTTTGAATGATTTTTTTTATTCTAATTAGTTATACATGAAGTAGAACGCATTTTGAGACATCATATGTAAATAGAGTATAATTTCTCATTCTTCTGGTTGTACATGATATAGTTATACAGGTTGTCTAATCACGTGTATACATAGGGTAATAGTGTCCGATTCATTCTTCTATCATTCCTAATCCCATGTCCCCTCCCCTCCCTTCACTCCCCTCTATCTAATTCCAAAGTACCTCTGTTCTTCCCTCACTACCCTCCTTATTGTGAATTAACATCCACATATCAGAGAAAGCATCAGCCTTTGATTCTTCAGGATTGGCTTATTTCACTTAGCATGATTCGCCAGTTCCATCAAAATGTGGGATTTTGAATGAGTAGAAGAATATAAGGAAGATACTTCACAGCAGAACATTCTCCCATAAATAGAAGTCAGATCTTCCTGGACTGTACCTTTGTCTCCGTAGAGAAGGGTATATAACCATGACAGCTGTCTTGTCTCTGCTATGAAAAAACAATCAGGTAGCCATGATAACATTCGCACTGTGGGTTATCAGTCTTTACAGTCAAGCTAAAATCAGAGCTGTGGTGATAGCATAAAATGTAAATGTCATCAAATTCAAGTGTATAGAGATAAAGGAAGAATGACAGATGTTCTCTTAATACCTTAATCGTTGAAATGGGTGAGTCAAGAGATATGGTAAAACTTGATGAAATGAGAAATAGCTGTCTATTACTGTAGAGGTCACCAGGAGAGCATCACTTCTTAAAGTGTGGTCCCTGAACCAGCAGCTGCAGCCTCTCATGGGATCTTGTGTGTTGAGAAAGGAACACTTGAGGCCAACCCAGTACCCTGCCCCCCCCCCAAAAAAAAAACACCCAGAAACTCCTGGGGTGGGTCCCACAGTCTGTGTGAACACGCTGACCTAGGGGTTCTGATTCAGCCAACGTGGCAATCAAGAAGCTGAAGGGAGGGATTTGCCTGTCACATCAGGAGGGAGGGAGGGAGAGAGCCCCTGTGTCCCTGAGACCAGTTCTTGTCTTTCGTGGTGGGAATTCGGTGAGAGAGCATCTTCATCTGGTAAACCCAGGACTGTCCTGTCAGCGTGTTTTCTAGAGACGTGGAAACAATCACCAAAAGAAACACAGACATGCGACAGTAGTTTCCCCTGAGAGAAGGGCACAGTTATGGGAGGTGTGTGGCCGGGGGCTATTTTTTTTTTTTAACCATATAATTCCTCGTGAAATTAAAAGATTAAAAAAATATATATTGTTGCTGGATTGGGAATATTGTCCAGGAGCCGGAGAAGTGTTCTGAGAAATTCTTGCTTGTTCTGCTTTTCCTAATTATAAAAAAAAGGGGGGGGGAGGGGATAGTTTAATGATATTCTTCCATGATTCCTCCATGTGTCTTCCAGATGTTGGCTCAGTTTAAGGGGCGGAGCAGTTTGAGAGCGAGGCCCACTCCAGGAAGCAGAGCTGATTTTTAATGAGAACTCAGGAGCCAGCTGCACCCCAAATAGTACTTGAATCCCTCCTCTTTGTTCCATTTCTGTTTCAATTCCCTTCCCCGGGGCTAGGCCATCATTATTGGCTACCTAGACCACGTCACTTCCTTGCTTAACCCCCTCCAATGGCTGTTCCTCTTTGTAAGGTCCACAAGGCTGCTCAATGGGGCCCCTACCTCTCCAGAAGTGTCTAGTGCCATCTGTTAGAGTACTCCAAACTTACTAAGCCCTTGCCTGCCTCAGGACCTTTGTACATGCCAACAGTGTTTCTCTAAAGCTCCTCATGCTGCTTTTTAAAAAATTTTCCTTCTTTCTTTTTATTTATAGATGATAGTGGAATGCATTACAATTCTTACTAAACATATATAGCACAATTTCTCATTTTTCTAATGACCAATTTTTCATGTTTTAGGGTTTCAACCTAAATCTGACCTCCTCGCAGAGCCATCTCTCGTCTATCCTGTATTCCTTGACCTAGCTGCCTATTTCATTCCTTCATGGTACCAATTATAGTTTATTCTCTCATCCACTTGCTTTTATGTGTCCTTCTCTAGAACGGAAGGCCAGTGAGAGAGGAGGTCTACTTTATCTTATTGGCCATTGATCCCTAATATCTTGTCTGGCTTATAATAGTGCTTAGTAAATATAAAGCCCTTCTGAAAGAATATAAGGTTAGGCCATTCTGCAAAGTTTGGACATCAGAGTTTCTTCACTGACAGATTCAACAAAGCTCTATTGTTTAAAAAAAAAAAAAAAAAAAAGAATAAGTACTCCATGATCCCCC